CCTATGACTGCAGACTCCGGCATATATTGTGTGAAGTGGTTCAGGAACATAGGGCTGCTATTACAGTTTTTTACAATCATTTTCACACTTGTCTCAATACCATGTTCACTTTTTCAAAAAACTTCACACTGTGAACATTACAAACAGGCACCTGAGCATATCAGTTAACTTTCGGTGCAAAATGCACTAAAACCATCAAAACACTTTGTACTTCACCCAATAGTGACTCATGCTGCCATAACTATAGCACATGCACACAAAGTACAATGAATGAAAAAACACAAAGAACTTGAAGCACTGCAAAATGCATATATATTATGTGTTGTTGCACACAGTGTTTATTGCAAAATAAAGGAAAAACGTATGACATTTCTTACAGTAAACATTGTAATGCAAACAAATAATACAGTAAATAAATTCAGCTGCGCAAAACACTGGAAAAGAAAAATATATTACAACCACCAAACTGAAAGTACATTATATTCAATCCCCCAAAAAAAACAAAAAGCAAAAAATGCCTAATAGCAAATTTTCACTTTATACATTCAAATATACTGTTGACGTGGCCTAATCTATTTGGTCCTCTGCATTTGGCCATAAATTTTCAGCAACATCACACCACAATACGCAATACGGCAAGGAAAAAATCTCTTTGAGTGCCTTATCCAGCTCTGGATGTCCTCCACATGGATGTCCATACACCCAGCAGCCATTACATCTAAAAGCGACATCTGATCATGTGACCGATGGTCATATACCTTCCATCTCCATGCAGAAAAAATTCTTCAATGGGGTTGAGGAATGGAGAGTATGGTGGCAAGAATAATGACATCATCCTAGGATGGGCAGTAAACCACTCTGTGGCTTGGTGGGAATGATGAAAGGCCACATTGTCTCACACAATCACAAATACTGGTAAATTCTGCCTCTCTCTCTCTCTCTCTCTCTCTCTTGCTGCTGAAAGTGTTTCATAGGGTTCATCAAGAAAAACAATAAGGTGTGCTGTATTGTATGGGCCAATGACGGCCTTCTGCAGCTGCAGTACGTCATTAGATATGGCTGCACACATGGTAATGTTAACCCCCTCTTCTCAGTCACATTTCTTCTACGGCGGCGTCTTTTTGCCAAGTTGAAACCGGCCTCATCCACAAAGATAACTGTGTGTCCATCTTCACTGGCTTCAAGCTCCATGACTCTCTACAGTAAGAGAATACACAAGGAAACACAAGACACAAATGCATAGCTTACTGTATTGTACACAATAGATGAAAGAAAATACCTGTGTGTGTTGCACTGTTCACAATCACTATACAAACCATGACTTACCTGGATGTACTGATACCTGAGCTCCTTAACAGGCTCAGAGCTCCTCTGAAATGGGACAGTGTATAATTGTTTCATCCTGATCTGGTGTTTCTGCAGCTTTTGTGCAATAGTTGTAGTGCTATCATTCTCAGTATTTGTCATTGTCTGCGATTATTTTGTCACGTATTTCTCTGAGCCTGATGCTGTTGTTGGCAATGTGTCATGACCTGCTTGTTCATTCCTCTTGTGTTCCACTCCCCCTTGTTACCGTGTGTTGATTCCTGGTGTTTTCAGCTGTGTCTAGTTGTTGTTAATTGATTCAGTGTATTTAGTGCTTCCGTGTCTGTCTTGCCCCTGTCTGGTCATTGACGTTTGTGCTTGCGTTGTGTCCTGTGGTTTTGTATTTTCTAATAAATCCCTGTTTGCCTGATTTCACAACGTCTGTGCTGCTTTCCCGGGGGGAGGCAATCCATAACACAATGACCATCTCAACTATTGAATCCTCCTGTTCTGGTGTAAATATTCTTCCCTTTCCCCCTGTGGGAGGTAAACTCTGTATCCTGCTGTACTGAGTCAAGACACCATGTCAAATCATATTTCTATAGTACTGTACATGTGTATACACACATCAATCAGTCAAAATACTGTATAGTAGCCTACCTGTTGGTTTGCCTGAAAATCGTCACTATTGATGCCACTGTGGATCTAGGCAAGTTTGGTTTGACCCTTAGACCTGCATCCCTCAGGGACAGACCATGATTTACAACATGGTCAATTACTGTGGCTCTGATTTCATCAGTAACCATGGTTCTTCCTCTTCCTCTCTATGCTCATAAAACCTTTGACTTGTCTTGCAAAATCACACAGTCGAACCAAAAATATTTTAACTTTACCCAAAATCTAGCACAACTGCCAGAAAACACACAAAACCAGCCAATGTAAAAACACAACTCAGAAATTATGACACACTACATAAACAAATGCAAAACACTCTGGGATAAAAGGAAAATAATCTTTATTTGGGATATTTGAACATTCCTGTACTTATGAAAGCTTATTTACATCCAAACAAAGAAACCTGCGGCTAAACAAAATCTATTATGTGCTTTTACATATTTTTACATCAAAATCAATCAGTCATTCTGCCACATCATCATGTCTCTGCATGGGGTCAGGCCACAGGACTTCATCTACATCACATGCAATGTTCTCCCTTGCAAGACAATGTGGAAAGAATCCTTTGGCGTGCCGAATCCAGCCTTGGCAAGATTCCACTCTTACATCATCACACACTGCATCCATTGCTTGGATGAGGTTTTCCTGTATGTAGGGATTTCGGTCATATACTTTCCACCGCCATGCTGAGAAAAATTCCTCAGTAGGGTTTAAAAAGGGAGAGTATGGTGGAAGGCAAACATTCATAGAATGCTGGTTATTGTTAAACCAATCACGTATTCTTGGACCGCGGTGTAAGCTCACATTGTCCCATATGATAACATAAATGGGATGCTCTGCCTGCTCGTGACCTCTCTGCTCATGTCCGAGCAAAGCATGCTGTAGGCCATGCAGGAATGCTAGAAGAAGGTCAGTGTTGTATGGCCCAACAGTAACATGGTTGTGGACAACCCCATAGCTGCTGATGGCAGCGTATATGGTCACATTTCCACCACGCTGGCAAGGCATTTCTATAATGGCACGTTGACTAATTATGTTGCCACCTCTCTTTCTCCATTTTGCCAGAATGAATTCAGCTTCATCCATGAAGATGTATTCATGACGCCTCTCCATTGAGTCAAATTCAAAAAGTCTCTATACACAATGAAAATAGAGTAACCTCCGTTCTGTGAATGACATATATAGTACAGTATACTGTACATGCTAGTGCTGAGTTTACTGTAACAGTTTACTTACTTGCACATATTGATATCGTTGCTCTTTAATTCTTTCAGAGTTTTGCTCAAATGGTACTCTATAGGCTTGTTTCATCCTTATCTGGTTGCGTTGCAGTACACAATCAATTGTTGAACGACTCACATGGTTTATTCCATCAAAATGCACATTGTCTTCAATAATTCGCTGTTGTATTTCACGCAGTGGTATTGCATTGTTTTGAGAGACCATCTCAACAATTAGTGTCTCGTTGTTCTGAGAACATGCGTGTTCTTCCACCCCTATGTGGCCGTCTTTCAGTTCTGCAAAAAGATAATATTGTTAGAAGTAAATGCTCTCTACTGTACAAAAACAGATATAGTAACGTAAGGAAATAATTTTTCCCTGTCCCCTTTCTAGAGATTGGTGGAGTCATTTACTGACACTGAAATCATGCCGTGACTTTCAGAGACAAAAATACATTTTACCGGTTTTCTTCTCTGAAGGTCCTGACTACGGAGGCCACTGTGAAGCCAAAGTCAAAGTCAAAGTGAACTTTATTGTCATCTCAGCTGTATACATGTGTACAGTGAGATGATACGACGTGGCTCCAGTTCTTACAAAGTACAAATAGGCACAGAGAATAAAAATACATTACAGTAATAACTATAAATATAAATATAAACTCTAAGCTAACGTGGAAATTGTGCAATTAGTTAAGGAGG